TTCCTCCATGGCCTGTGCTCCAGCTCCTGCTTCCAGGTTCCTGCCCTAAGTTCCTACCTTGGGCTCCCTGACGAACTACAACCTGGGAGATGTAAGCTGAATAAACCCTTTCCTCCCCAAGTTGGTAGTGGTCAGAGTGTTTTATCACAGCAATGAAGAAACAAACTAGGACAGATCCATAAGGTGGTAAGCAAGAAGAAAGAAACTATCACTGGGCAGTAAGTGTCAAAACATCTGTGTCACACAAATGGCTGGGTCAACACAAAGGCCTGCCATCCTCAGGGATCTCTTCACTAGAACTCTGAACAGCAGAGAGAACAATACCAGTTTGTGTGTATGGATACTTGTTTGAGTGGGGAAATAAGTTTAGTACCAGAAAGTAGCTTAGGCTATCACTAAGGATACCAGGTTGAACAGCATCCTCCTCCAAGAAGTCTGGGTCACCCAGAAGCAGTGAATATGTCCTTATGTGGAAATAAGGTCTTTGTGGACGTTATGAAGTTAAAGTGAGGTCAGGAGTGTAGGTCTGAAGCAATGAATGAGCGGTGTCCTTAAAAGACATGAGTAGCCAGGAGTGGTGGTGCACACCTTTACTCCTAGCACTCAGGAGGTAGAGGCAAGCAGATCTCAGTGAGATCAAGGCCAGCCTGGACTACACATGAGTTCCGGATCACAGGGGAGACAAGGCCTGTGAAGATGGACACAGAGACTAGAGGGAAGTGGCATCTACAAGCCAAGGAACCAGGATTCCCAGTAGCCAGCACCACATGGACAGTCTTCCTCAGGGCTGGTGTGCAATCTTGCTGCATCTTGGGTCTCACACTTCTGGTTTCCAGAACCAGAGTACACACTTCCATAGCTGCCTAACCCATGGGACTGTATCACAGTGGACACTGGAGACAAACACACCAAGAAAAAAGTTAATTTTGTTTGTTTTTAAGTGAATATGTGGAAACCATCAGCACACATTCCCAGGCAGCAACTCAAACTATAAACAAAGTAAGCTTTCCTGGCGATGGACATACAAGAAGAAAGTAGAAGATGAAATCCTTTGCTGACAGGAATTCCTCGTACCTCAGGTCCTTTGTGTGAAAAAGGATACAAGGTCAGAGAATATTAACTGTTTCTCCTCAGCAAACTGACTCTGTACCTACACAGAAGACATACACACGCTCACACAGAAGTGGAGGGCATGGTTTCATTACCTAACACGAAGGGACAAAAAGCAGAGCCCCATGTCCCCTGGCATGGAGCTTTCTTCTCGTGTGTGGTCAGATCTCATACTCACAGGCTCATTTGCAGCATTCTGCATGGACACATTCTTAATACAGACGCCAAACGCAAAAGGATGGGAGGGATTGGTAAGACCATCTTCGAAGCGCAAATGGACATCTTGAATTTTTAACTGCAAGGGGGAGAGAAATGGAAAACACATTTAGATAACTGCTGCGTATGGACTATCAGAGCCAAACCATGGCAGGCATTGCCACATGCGTCCAGAATTCTGAAAGTCCATAAGGGAGGCACAAGCTGAATGGCTCAGGACTGACAATTCTGATGTCTCAGGAAGAAAGCTACAATACTTCTATTACACCATCTCAGAAGATAAGATGTCTCAGCAGCCAAGCAAGCCTAGCAACCTGAGTTCAATTCCCAGAACCTACGTAAAGATGGAAGGAAAGAACCAACTCCAGAAAGTTGTCCTCTGACCTCGATGTGTGCATGCACTCACACACAAATAAATGTATTTTAAAAAGAGAGGGAGACAGGGCTGGAGAGATGGTTCAGCAGTTAAGAGCACTGACTGCTCTTGCAGAGGACCCGGCTTCAATTCCCAGCACCCACATGGCGGCTATGAACCATCCTTAACTCCAGTCCCAGGGGAATCCAAAGACCTCTTCTGACCTCTGCGGTGTTGCATGACACGGGTGCACTCACACGAATGGAGGCAACACACTCATACACATAAAATTAAAAAAAAATAATATTTTTTTTAAAAAAAAAGAGAGAGGGAGACAAAACAGCACCACTGTATCCAAATGACTAGAACTGCCACTCTTGTCTCTCCATCTAGGCACCTAGGCCCAGGGGTGCCAGCAAGGCATGTAAGTTTGTACATATCCATCTATGTGCATATTTATTCCTTCTTGTCCCTGTAAGCGAGCTACAGAAAAGGTACTGCTTCAGGCAATTAAAAATAATAACAGGGCTGGAGGAGTACCTCAAAGGTAGAATGTGAGAAAAAAACATAGACATCTGGCCAATATGCATATGGAAAAGTATTTGGCATCATTAGCCATGAACAAGTAAACTGGGCTGGGGAGATGCTGCAGTGGGTAAAAATCCTTACTCTGCAAGCATGAGAACCTAAATTCAAATCCCCAGAATTCATATAAAAAGTCAGGGCTGCACTTATCTGTAACCCCACCATTGAGAGACAGGGACAGACAGATCCCAGCAGACTGCTGATCAGAGAGCCTAGCCAAAATGGTGGGCTTCCAGTTCAGTGAGAGACCCTGTCTCAAGGCAATAAAGCTGACAGCAGTGGAGGAAGACACCTGATATCCTGCTCTAGTCTCTTCACCCATGAACAAGGGCACCACCTTGAGCATATACACACACAATGAATTAAATAAATAAAATTGATGGTAGACCGCTCAGGCCTAAGGACAGACGTGTATCTCCACACCCTCCCCTTCTCAAGACTCAGGGAACAATGAGGAAGAGAAGGTGGAAAGAATGTAAGAGCCAGAGGACAGGTAGTATACACAAAGAGATGTCTTCTGGACAAGACATGACCGTGTCAACTCAGGAACTCACTGCAGCTCTGGTTACCTGCACAAGACCTGCATCCCCCCGAAAGCAAAGGCCTTCCTTCCCTCTCTGATTACACTGCAAAGGAAGACCATTGGGTCCTTGAGCTGGAGCCTGACAGGGGAGACGGCTCAGCAGGTAAGGACACTTGCCACCAAGTCTGGATGACCTTTCTCTGTTTCCCAGGACCCACATGGTGGAAGGAGAGAACCAACTCCCAAAAGCTGTTCTATGACCTCCACATGCACCTCCCACCTCCAATAAATAAGTAAATGCAAGAAAAATAAGAAAAGGAGATTGCCAAGATGTAGGAAATATGTATATACACAAACACACACAAAGGCACAAATGTGCACGTGGGAGAGGCTCACAGCTATAAGCCATGCTTAGTACATGCTCTTGGGTACTGGTTAGAATAAAGAACAAGAAAAAAAAGCTTAAAATTAAAAATTAAAACAATGGAGGAAGGAGTCTGAATGTGATCAAAATAAAGTATATGAAATTCAATTTTAAAAAAAAATTTAATTAAAACAAGAAGGGCTGGAGAGATGGCTGGGCAGTTAAGAGCTCAGTGGTTAAGAGTGTTTGCTGCTCTTGCAGAGGACCAGAATCAAAGAGCCCACAACCACCTGTACATCCAACTCCAGGGAATTTGATGCCCTCTTCTAGCCTCTACAGGCATCTGCACACATGTGGTATACACACAGACACAGACACACGGGACACAACACACACAATAAGCAGGGTGTGGTAGCACATGCCTTTAATCCCAACAGTCAAGAGAAAGAGGCCGAGGGAGCGCTGTCAGTTTGAGGTCAGTCTGTTCTATTTAGTCAGTTCTAGATCAGCTAGTGGTATAGAGTAATATCCAATCTTAAAAAAAATAAGGGCTGAAGAGATGGCTGAGCGGTTAAGAACACTGGTTGTTCTTGTAGAAGACCCGGGTTCAAATCCCAGCACCCACACGGCAGCTAACAACTGTCCGTAATTCCAGTCCCAGGGATCTGATAGCCTCTTCTGACCTCCATGGGCATTGCACGACACGGGTGCACTTACCTACATGCAGGCAATACATGCATACAAATAAAATAAATAATAAATATTTTTTAATTCAGGAAACAATTTGCAATTAGGTCAGAATTACGTATAGCTGGCTGGGAAGAATGGCTGGATACTCAGGTGAGGTTCCAATGACCCTGTTTATCTCCCCTTTAATGAAAGAATGTAACTGAGGCTGGCCTCAAACTCACAGAGATCTGCCTGCCTTTGCCTCCCGAGTGCTGGGATTAAAGGCGTGCACCACCACGCCTGGCCAATAAATAAATCTTTTTTTAAAAACACAAAACTTAGCTGGGCATAGTGGCACACACCTTTAATCCCAGCACTCAGGAGGCAGAGGCAGGTAAGTTCAAGGCCAGCCTGGTCTACATAGCAAGTTCCAGGTCAGCTGTGGCTACAGGGAGCCCTGTCTCAAAAAGACCCAGAGGGGGAAAAAAAAAACAAAAAAAACTGAAAATTGCAACTTCAAAGGGGTATCTTTCTGGTATATGAACAGTACATCAATAAAGCTGTTATTAAAACTAAAATAATTAATAACGACCAGGGCTGGGGAGATGGATCAGTCAGTGAAGTGCTTGGTATACAAACCTGAGGGCCTGAGTTCAGATCTCCTGACCCACACAAAGATGAAGAGACAGAAGGATTCCTGGGGCTTGTTCACCAGCCAATCCAGACAATCAGTGAGCTCCAGGTTCAGTTAGACTTTGTCTCAAAAATAAGAGTGATTGAGAAAGACAACCTCATAGACACCTGACGTCCACACTTATGAGCACACAGGTGCACATGTGTACATACACATTACATACACAAAAAATTTCTATAATAATGATCTTTTTAAAAAAAGCAAATTAGGGGCTGGAGAAATGGCTCAGTGGTTAAGAGTACTGGTTGTACTTGCAGAGGACCTGGGCTCAGTACACTCATAGACATAAAATAAAAATAATAAAATTTTTAATTTTTTTTTTTTGAGACAGGTTCTCACTGTGTAGCCTTGGCTGGTCTGGAACTTGGCTGTGTACCAGACTGGCCTTGAACTCACAGAGATCCACCTGCTTGTGTCTCCTGAGTGCTGAGACTAAAGGCATGAACCACCTCGCCCAGCTTATAAATAAAATATTTTAAAAAACAAATCAGTGCCTTCAAGTACCCCAACCTTTTTATCAAAGTTATGGAAGTTATGAAGCCAATGACCTCAGACTACTCTCAGGGAGCAAGGCCTACATTGAACACACTGGCTGGGGTTACCTGACACTGTAAGAAAACCCTAGAAAATGCAAGTATGTGCTAAGTCTGAGGACATGTATGAAGATCAATCCTCTAATTCCATTTCTGATGATCCAACAAAATTGTAATTACTTTAGAAAATGTGACCAATACTATAAGTTCATCAAATCTCAATCATCAATGAGAGGTTAGCTGTCTTCTTCCCTCCTGGGCCACTCACAATTCACAGCACACAGGCAATGGATACCCACCTCTCCTATTTTTCAGATGAAGAAACCAAGATCAGAAAGGTTAAATGACTAGCCTTGAAACCACAGTCATCAAGGCTTAGGTAATCTGGTTTCTAAGGTGATAAATCCTTTAGCAAGTGAGATTCCAACATTCAAAAAGAAAGTGTGCTGAGGGCAACGGAAGTGAAATGGAAACTCCTACCCACACCAGCTGAAGAAGAAGAACCCGTCTTTTCAGAGCACCGGACTTGCTTTTCAGGTTTTCTCTTTGGCTCTGCCTCCAACATGACACACCTGAGCAGCCAGCCCCACACACCCCACATCAGCTAAACCCACAAGAAACAAGCAGCTCAGAAGTGAAAACACATCTGAGCCTGAGAAACACTTCGTGTGTCTACAGAGAAGTCACCAGGACTCACCTCGATGTTCTCCACAATTCTTGTGACGACGGAAGCAGTGACTGAATACCAGTAGGATTCCCCCTTTTGCTGGCGTTCATTCTGCAAGAGAAAGAGCCAGTGTCAGCAGAACCCAGAACCCAGCAGAGCCGCCCCTCACAGACCGGGCTCAGTGACTTGCCTTCCACTTCTCCTCCAGGGCCTGAAGCAGCGCTTTCTTGCGCTCACTTTCCAACAGCTTCTCCTTTTCATCGTTAAAGTCCTGGATTTTCTCCGGAGCACCAATTAAGTGGAGGCTAGAGATGGAGATCACCCAAGGGTCCACATGTGGGCGGTAAAAGGGGATCTGAAGGGTCACTTTCCCAATTACACCTGGGAGAAGGAACATCTCATTAGATGTCTAAGCACTTTTTATAAATTGTTTAATGACTTTTATTTTTATTTTGTGTTTGAGTGTTTTGCCTGAATTTAAGTGTATCCATGTGTGCAATGTCCCTGGAGGCCAGAAGACACTCCCTAGAAATGGAGTTACAGGCGATTGGCCAGGTCCTCTGCAAGAACAGCCAGTGCTCTTAACCACTGAGCCATCTCCCCAGCCCCATCTGTGCACTTTTCAGTTCTGTCCATTTCTCAGAATATTACTAGCTCACTTTAAGGCAAAGAGATCACTTTTACCATGTGTGTGCTTGTTTTAAACTGCCAATTGTGGTGTTGCATGTCGACAAGAAATGCTGAAGAGGTAGAGGGAGAACAATCACGAATTTGGGGCCAACCTGAGCTACACCTTGGGACTGGGGATTTAGCTCTGGTTAAGTACTTGCCTAGTAAGTGCAAGGCCCTGGGTTCAGTCTGCAGTACCAGAAGAAAAATTTTAAAAAATCAAATCACAAAACAGGCAGCAAACACTCTTTTCCAACTGGACCACACCTTAGATTCCTTTGACAAGTCTTTCTTCCCATGGTACTTACCCACACAAGCCTTGGTCACAAAACTCATTTCTTGTTAATAATTGGCTCTTAATAAGTATTTGTTGGGAGTTATCAGACTTACATGTCTAACCTCAAATATACTCATCATAAACCCAAATGTACACAAAACTACTCTAGCAACATATGGATAAAGAATTCTGATTATTCACGTGACCATGGGCTGATAAGAAAGCTAAGTGGCCGGGTGTGGTGGCCCATGCCTTTAATCCCAGCCCTTGGGAGGCAGAGGCAGGTGGATCTCTCTGAGATTGAGGGCAGCCTGGTCTCCATTAGTGAATCCAGGCAAACTGTGGCTTCAGGGAGACCTTGTCTCAAAAAGACCAAAAAAAAAAAAAAAGAAAAGAAAAGAAAAGAAAGCTAAGTGGCCTGCAAAATTATGACACTTATTTCCCAAGCTTCCATTTTCACCATTATAAAAAGAGGCAGGTTGCTGGGTATAGAGGCACAACCCCCCCTTTAATCCCAGCACTTGGGAGGCTGAGGCAGGTGGATCTCGCTGAGATCGTGGCCAGCCTGGTCTACATAGTGAGTTTCAGAAAGGTGTCTGCTGGTGGCATGATTATGCACATGTGCATGTGTATACACACACACACACACACACACATACACACACACACACACAGGAATGCATAAATGTGAAAAAAAATTACTGACAAATATGAGAGGGGCTGGAGAGATGCTCACCAGTTAAGAGCACTGGCTGCTCGTGCAGAGGACGCAGGTTAGGTTCCCAGCACTCACGCAGTGGCTAACAATCATGACTCTAGTTCTAGGGGATCCAAAACCCTCTTCTGGCCTTGCTGGCATTGCATGCATGTACATTTACATACATGCAGACAAAACGCTCATGCACATAAAATAAAAATAAATCAAAAATTTAATACAAGATACATAGGTGCAATTATGAGTTTTTATTTTTGTTTCTTTGTGGTACTAGGGATAGAACTCTGGGCCTTGTGCAGGCGAGGCAGGTGCTCTACCACTGATCTACACCCCCAGCCCTATTACTTCATCTTACCACTGATCTACACCCCCAGCCCTATTACCTCATCTTAAACTGTCATGATGACTTTCTGAAGTAGGTCTTACTGTATTTCCCAAGTTAGGTTCCAACTTAGCATCCTCCTGCATCACTTTCCTGAGATGCTGGGATTACAGACATAAGCCACCACACTCGGTTCTCATAATGACTTTTATGATGACACAGGAATTGGTCAAGTGACTTTTCCAAAGTCACACTGCTAGAAGGCAGCAGCAGTGGACTATGAACCCAAGCACACTGCTTCAGAGCCCATCTCTTACCCAACAAGCATCAGTAAGAGCAATAATGAAGTCTCTAGAAATAGGAATCTCCTGTATCCGGAACAGAGGTCCTTATACTCAGTCCTTAATAAACATGCAGGTTCCCTTCACATTCAGATATAATCTGCCTAGGAGCCACTGGCCATCTCCAGTACCACCCAAGACTAACCCAACACTAGTGGCCTAAGCACACTGTAAGCCTGACCTAAACTCTAACACTTCCTGTCCTTTCCCTTTCTGGTCAAGCCGACAAAAACTCCAGGGTTCTTGGTTTTCCTGTCAAAAACAACTTGAGACTCAAACTCCCCTCCAGTGCCACATACCGGCTTTGACTTCAAATGGTAATTCCAGTTCTTTTAGGGCACCTTTCTTTAAGGGGAGGTTTTCTAGTTCAACAGCACCTAGGAACAAAAACATCATGAAATATCCATCCAACACAGATTGTAGGTCCCTACTGTGTGCAAGGCACTGAAGGCTAAAGGGGAAGTGTTGCATCATATCAGAATCCCTAGGACTGAAGCAGGAATTATTAGCTCTTTATAACAAGCACTCCCAACCCTCTACAGCACCCTTCCCTAAAACTGAGTGCAGGGCATAAAACACTAGACTCCATGGTTTAGTTAATAAAAAGTTAGTTAATAAGGAACCAGCTCCACAGTTTCTATGCCCACTCCTCCCCGACAGGAGTAGTAACTGGTGAGAAGCAAAGGGAAGAACAGGTCCAGCTTTTATAATGACATCAACCCAGACGTGCACAGGCCAGAGGGCAGCCAGACCACACTCTGCTATTGTCTGGCTCTGAAATGTTGCCCAAAGGCCCACGTGTTAAGGGCTGCTTCCCAACCATGGCACTCTTGGGACGTGGTGGAATCCCTAAGTGGTGGGGCCTTGTTGATAGAAGTCAGGTTACTGAAGACATGCCCTCAAAGGGGATGCGGAGACAGAGGCCCTCCTGTCTCTGTTTCCCAGCTCCCGCTGGTAACACACCTGCTCTGCCAGCACGCCCACCACTACTACAGTCCCACCATTACTACAGTCCCAGAAGCAGTGGGGCCAGTAAACCATGCACTGAAACCTCTGAAACTGTGAGCCAAAATAACCTTTCCTCTTCTGATTGTCTCAGGTATCTTGTCACAGTAAGGAAAAGCTGATTTCTCCTGATTATGCAAGCTATTCATCTACACATACATACCAAGCTCTTCTCTGTACAAGGCACTGTTCAGGCCACAGGAAACATAATGAGAAGAGTGACCCTAGCCACAAACTGCTGAGGAGATGACCATATGTTGTGAAATGGTTTGTCCCCTGAATCTGTCTGAGATAATGTATTTTCAAGAACAGGGAATACAGACAACAGCCACTAGCTGGTAAGAAGGCCCAAGAGTAAGACAGACAAGGTTTCCTCCAGTGACTTCACAAGGTAGGAAATGCTGCTTCTTCCCCCTTTAAATGACTCTGCAGAACTTAAGGGTTATTGGCTTCTAAAGGAAGATTTATACCTAGCAATTTGGTAGATTCTAAGCAAATGCAGTCTACTGGGGGGCGGAGGGGGGCACACATCTGTCCACATGGGGTTCCATAAGACTAACAAAGTAAAATAACCCTATTTCCAAAGAAGGGAAGAACATGATCATAAAAGAAAAAAAAATGTTAGGAAGACTTTTCCTCAGGTGAAACAGAGGGACAGTTTCAGCGCCGTTTTCTGTTTTCACAGCACTGCGGATGGAACCCAAGTCCTTGTACATGTCAGGCAAGCACTGCACAGTGGTCTTTTCTCACTTGCACTGACAACAGCCCTAGTCTTCTATATGCTAATCTGCCACAAAGGCAGGAGACCCCTGGCTTTCCCTGGCTGCTGTACAGCCTTAGAGAAATGTAAGGAATTATAGGCAACTTACACCATGAAAAGTAAAGAAGCTAAAGCACAGGAAGCAAGGGGATGATCTAAAAAGAAGAAATACAGGGAAGAACAGGCAACAGACGCCTACAGCAATGGAATCAGGCAAAACAACGTGGCAATGGAGCTTCAAGACCGACGATGTCCTAATGCCCAACGCACTCAAATACACACCTACACCTGCCTGCTGGGAAGGGTTCTGCCTTCCAGAGAAGGGTCTTACCTGCTAGGAAAGGGTCTGTCTGCTGGGAAGGGTCCTATCTGGTAGGACAGGGCCTGTCTGCTGGGAAGGGTCCTATCTGGTAGGACAGGGCCTGTCTGCTGGGAAGGGTCCTGCCCTGCTGGGAAGGGTTGTCCAGGGAGTCAGACAGCTAAGCACCCAAAGGAGGTGAGCACTTTATAGCTAAAAAGCCATTCATTTTTAGGCAGACAGTTTATAGGCTTATTCATGGATGACTCCATCCCAAAATTCCTCATTTCAGATTGTCCAGAAATCTATTCACTGAAACTGGGGTGAATTCTGAGCTTGGCCGTTTCTCAGCAATCTCTACTGACAGCCAAATTCTCTTTACTCTGCTCTGGGTTATTTAAAGGACCAGGCTGAGTGAGGCTCAAATCTTAGAAAACAAAAAGGAATTACATTTGGAGTCCCTGGTGCAGCACAGCCTCTGTGTTGACTCCAAACCATTCCAAAAGGTGCTACAAGCCATCCATCCACCTCTGCTCCTGGGATTCATTCCACCTGGGGTGTGGTGACCCCTGTGCTACCTACTGAAACTTCAAAAGCTACCCCAACTAGCTATTTTCCCAGAGTCCTACAGACAGAACAGAAGGTTCCTCTCCTGTCCCAGGCTAACCTAGAACTCACCATCTAGCCAAGCCAACCTCCAACTCATAGTAATCCTTTCTGCCTCAGTCTCCCAACTACTGGGAACATAGGAGTGAGCCACCACACCCAGCTGATACATTATGCCTCTCACTCTAGTGGAACCATTTAGCAATGACTACTCTTGTACTGCTGCTTGATTTGCCACCCACAGGTGAGTGGCGCAGTGACAGCAACAGCACCTCCCACTCACTGAGGTCTTACTGGGGGCTAAGCACTCCATCAGCACTATCCCTCCTTCCTCTAAGTGGTAGGCATCAAACACAGGGCCTACTAATCCCCCACCCACTGGTGCTAAGCAAGTGCTCTACCACCAAGCTATAACCCTAGTTAGTCCCTGCAGTATCTCGTTCAATCTGCACAACAGCGCAAGGAAACAATGCAAGGTGAGCATCTTCCATCTGAATTCCTTGAGATCTGAAGTTTGTTGTTGTTGTTGTTGGGTTTTTTTGGTCTTTTTGAGACAGGGTCTCCCTGTAGCCCCAGCTGGGATGGAACTCACTATGGAGACCAGGCTGGCCTCAAACTCAAGAGCTCCGCCTTCATCTGCCTCCCGAGTGCTGGGACTAAACGCGTGCACCACCATACCCAGCTTGGGACCTTTTAAGGTTTTTAAATATTTATATAGACTTTACTGGTTGAGCATTCTTAACCAAAAGTCAAAATTTCAGGGCTGGACTTGTAGCTCAATAGGTGGAGTGCTTGCCTTGCATGCATGAAGCCCTGGGTTCCATCCCCAGGACAGCATAAACCAGAAATAGTGACACACATTGTAATCCCAGCACTCGGGAGGTGAGCAGGAGGATCATACCAAATCAGAGGTCAGTCAGGGATATGTAAGATCCTGTCTCAAAATCAAAAATCAAAAAATTTTGGACATTAAGTAGCGCTAAAAATGTCCCAGATTTCAGAACATTTGAGATTTCAGAACATTTCAACCCATATTAGCTTCTAAATTTTGAGATGAGACCCTATTGTAGAGACACTTGTACAGCCATGTTTGTTGCTGTTCTTTTCACAATAGCTAAGAGATGGAAGCAACCTAAGTGTGCCTCAACTGATGAGTGGTTAACAAAAATGTGGTATATTTACACAATGGCATTCTATTCAGGAGTAAAGAAAGATGAAACAGGTTGGGCATGGTGGCGCACCCCTTTAATCCCAGCACTTGGGACGCAGAGGCAGGCGGATCTTTGTGAGTTCAAGGCCAGCCTGGTCTACAAAGTGAGTTCCAGGACAGCTGGGGCTACAGAAAGACCCTGTCTTAAAAAGACCAAAAAAAAAAAAGAAAGAAAGAAAAGATGAAATAATGAAATTTGCAGGTAAATGGATGGATCTAGAAACTGTTATACTAAGTGAAGTAACACAGACTCAGAAAAACAAATGACGTATGTTCTCCCTCATATGTGGCTCCCAGTACCATATCCTTTTAAATTCCAGGTCCTTTCAATAATATGGTGCTATACAGCAGTCTCTTCTGCATGAAATAACTACCATCATCATGACTTTGGCTGAGCCTGATCGCTAAACATCGTCACAATTGGGCT